ATCCAGGTTCTGACCTTCCCCCCTAAGCCCGCAGACAGGCAGCCGCCTTGGGGCGCTGTAAGAGGCTGGAAACGCTTCGCAATTTTGCGCTTTCTGCCTCGCTGGTTTCCAAATCTGACCTCACGGGCAGTCAGTCAAATAAGTGGCTGTCGAGGGAGAGCTGGCGACCTGGGCTATCGTGGACAGTGGCCCTGTGTATCTATGGGTAGCTCTCTGGGTGTTTGCGCTTGGGGACCAGGAACTGCAGGTGTTAGGAGGCTGTGTGTGTGTGTGTTTGCGTGGGCTCCTGCGTGCTCCATCTGCAGACGTCCTTTTCAATTTGGATTTATAAGTTCATGCGCAAGACAGTTCCGGATGTGGATGCATTTTGTTGTTTTATAATCAAGATGCGTATAATCAAGAAGTATACGTTACAGATGTCGGCCTTCCAAGCGCACGTAACAACAATAAAAAGAGTTGGCATAGAAGAAGTGTAAGCACGTGCCAGGCACTCGTTCAAGTACCCCCCCCCCAAAGTGACCTCCCTGAGCCCCACAATTAACCCTAAAAGGTGTGTGCAACTTTTATTCCTGTTAGTTAGGTCACTCCAGATCACCCCTGGGAAAACTATAGAGTCAGAATTCAAGCCCAGCTGGAATCCAGAATCCGCTCTCCTCACCTGATTCAGGTGGAGGGGTACCTCCCTGTTGTTGCAGGCTGCTGCTGTCCCCGGATGTAGAGAAATCAATGGACGTGTTCTGGGTTTTAGATGGTGTTTTAGGCATTTTTTTTTCCATACAAGAACATGTCAATGTCTTCGTGCATTCCCCGTGTAATGTAAAAGTATAACTTTTATTTCGGCGTTCCAATCCCCGCCCCACGCTGTTCTGTGCCCTGAAATACTCAGAGCTAAGACCGAGGGTTTGGGGGCCTTTGTTCTTAGGCAGTTGAAGAGAAATGGGTTGGGCATGGAAAACCCTGTTTGAAATGCCTTCGGCCAGCCCGGAGGACATAGCAAGTTCTCATCCGGATCTGAACCGAGAAGAAAACGGAGAGGGAGAAAGGGAGAGGGAATTACCACCGCGTGGGCATGAGCCAGGGCTGGCAGGGCAGTCGCGCTCAGGGGTCAGCGTTTCCCTGTCCAGCAGAGTGGAGGAGCAAAGAATAGGGCTTGGAGTGTCTCCGTCTTTCCTCCACCGGCCTCAGATCTTTTCCTAGCGTCCCTGGCACTTGCTGTGCTTTTATGACACAGGCGTGAAGGCCGAGAGCAGTGCAGGACTGCAGGTGGGGACCGGGTGAGGGCACCGAGACCGAAGGCTGTTGCCTGGTTCGACCCTCCCAGTTTCCAGCAACCGAAGCAAAGTCCTCCTTGCCCCCTCCCCCCCCCCCTTTTTCTTCCAGTTCTTTGGTTCCGGATGGAAACCGAGGGCTCA